TAACTAAAACCAAATAATATATATTTAAAAAGTCCTGTCTTGGAAAGGTGGCTAATTTAAATGTTTTAACATTGCTAAAAATAATTATTTGCTATGAAGTGCTATATTATAGAACAAAACTCTTGACTAATAAATAATTATTGTTTACAGTGGCAGAATGGAGTTATATCTATCCTGGAAATCAAGGATTCTCACTTGATTAAGTATAATAATAATAATTTCCTCACTTCCTAAACTGTGTCTAAAACAAGGATATCTGTAATCAGCATCAAACACTAAGTTGGCAGGGCAATCAGGACAGACAGACATTCTGCTTGATACTTCTTAAAAGGTAGACCTATTTTGAATTTTGTACACCCTCTTTTTATAATGTTCATATACCACACTGTTTCCCATATCAATTCCAGGCAATTATGTAGAGCCAGCACGAAGAAAATGCATATTTTGAAGATGATCCAATATTACCGACAAACAGAGGTACTTATAATCATACTGAATTAGTTCTAAACCAATTCTAGAAACTCTTCTCCAAGACGTTAAAGTAACCTCTCAAAAAATTTTTCCTACTGGAAGTCTTAGCAGCTGGATAAAGCCAATGCTTATATTAAAAGACTATTAGAAAAGACTAAATCCCATTAAAGCTATTTGCTGTTTTATGTTAGAACCAGTTTCATAACATAGGACTTACTGATTTTAAAATGTAATTTTTTTTATAACAATCCTATACACATCTAGTTAGAAATCCACTGAGTTCATAGAACACATGCTAGGGTAGTGTGCATATGATTTTAACTTTTAATTTCATATTATAGTCAGTTAAATATGCAATATTAAACCAATACAGAACAATCTAAAGAACAGATAATAAAGTTTGCAATGACTATTCGATTGTAACAAAAAGGTTTCTTTCACAGCAACATCATTGCTATTACGTTTTCTCCAAACCATTACTTGTTGACATTTTGAACCCTGTCATTTGTGTCTGTGTCACACACATACTTAGCATTTCTATACCACCATACCACTGTAACCTAGCCAGGCACATACATACATACATACATACATACATACATACATACACACACACACACACACACACACACACGTTTACATGCATTTACTTTTTTTTTTTAAATCTAAGAAAAATCATTAGATTCTTTTTTTCAACCGTTAGTCTCAAATGCCTCTCAGACTATTTGGCTTTCATTTGGTTAAAAATGCTAGAAAAGAACCAACAGTTAAAAGAGAGCTTTTAAAACGTTCCATTCTAATTAATAAAAACTGCTAAATTAACAAATGTTAACAACAAACTTTAGGAAATGGCATGGGATATTAAAGCCTTATTATAAGAATTTTCCTTCCCTGATATAATTTAGCCTATTAAATCAATTTATTTATTTTTCTTCTCTTTGGTCCATTTTCCATATTCCTCCAACATTCTTGACTGTCCTGATATACAAGACTGACAGTTGGTTTCTGAGAGATTGCTGATAAAAGAAAATTAGACCAGGAATGCACAATGTCCTATTTTGACAAGCTAGTATTGGAGAAACTAGACTTTCAAACTTATGCATATAGCAACAAATTAGGAAGACTCTATTTCTGTCCAGAACTGAAGCAAAATGAAAATCAATTAGCATATATAAGAAAGCAGTTTTCAGGCTTGAGATGACAAAACCTTCAATACTTTCTATGATTTTTTTCCCCTTTTTTGCTCATGTGAGGTTCTAGTAACACTGAAAATAGTCTTTGGCATATTAACTTTTCTAGTGTGAAATAAGCAGATATGTTTTATAGAGAATGTTGGAGTCAGTGTTAAAATCTATGATTTTCATTTGAATCACTACACTCAGCTGTCAACTCCCTTCCACTGGACACCTCTTCCAGCCTCTGCATCTCTTGGCACGGTGAAAATAAGAGCAGCCTTTTAGTTCCCTGTTGCTTTGCAAGCGTATTTTTTTAAATGTTCTCTCTCCTGATCCTTCCAAATAAAATAAAATAAAATAAAATAATTGTAATATTCATCGAAACAGATCAAGAGTTTCAACTATTAAAATGAACAAGGTTTCAAATGTTTTACTAATTTGGATTTGTTCCTGTTAAGACAGTGACTTAATTGCTGATAAATGGTTCATTTGCTTTGAACTCTCTTTAAACTAGTACAGATGTTGCATGTTCTTATATATGCATTCCTATGTAGATAATAAAATATGTCAAACACTAAGGCAGTGTTGGGATGTCCTTTCATCTATAAAAATCTTGATTTTTTGAGGCTAGTTGTCCTCTACTTTAAATTTACAGTTTAGTTTTCCAGAGAAAAAGAAAATCCAGCTCATCGTTTGTATCCTTCTTTAGTTTTTCCAAGCATGGATGACGGAAATTATCTGAAGTAATTAGTTCATGTTTTAAATAAATGGTATACTATACTATACAAATATATTACAGGTAGTCCTCATTCAGTGACCATTTGAAGACCTCTTCAGCTCTGAAGAGGGGTACTTATGATGGGTCCTCATAGTTGTGGCCATCGCAATGTCCCCATGGTCATGTGATTGTGATTCAGGTGCTCAGTCTATGGGTTTAACTGCTAAATTGTAGCAAAATTAAAGCTAAAAGGTATACACAACATATCTTTACAAGTTCCTGAACATAGTACTAAACCCACAGGTGCTAACTCAAAATCACAGAGTACTGCAGTCATGTGATCGCCATTTGCGACTTTCACTGCCAGC